TCAAGTAATTCTCCTGCCTCAGCCTCCTGAGTAGCTGGGACTACAGGCACATGCCACTGTGCCCCACTAATTTTTTTATTTTTAGTAGAGACAAGGTTTTACTATGTTGGTCAGGCTGGTCTTGAACTCCTGACCTCATGATCCACCCGCCTTGGCCTCCCAAAGTGCTGGGATTACAGGCGTGAGCCACCGCGTGTGGTCCCCCCTTTTTTTTTTAAGTAGAGACAGGGTTTAGTCGTGTTGCCCAGGCTGGTTTTGAACTCCTGATGACTGCCTCAGTTTCCTGAAGTGCTGAGATTACAGGCATTAGCCAATGTGCCCAGCCTACATTAATTCTTTTACAGACATACATTTTCCCACCAATTCTTTGTTCTCTTCCTCTTTAAGAAGTGGGCTTGGCTGGACGCGGTGGCTCCCACTGGTAATCCCAGCACTTTGGGAGGTTGAGGTGGGTGGGTCACCTGAGGTCAGGAGTTCGAGACCAGTCTGGCCAACATGGTGAAACCCCATCTCTACTAAAAATACAAAAATTAGGCAGGTGTGGTGGCATAAGCCTGTAATCCCAGCTACTTGGGAGGCGGAGGCAGGAGAATAGCTTGAACCCGGGAGGTGGAAGTTGCAGTGAGCTGGAATCATGCCACTGCACTCCAGCCTGGGGGACAGAGCAAGACTCCATCTCAAAAATAAATAAATCAAACTGGATGGTACGTGGCACTGCACCTTAGATCCAAGGATTGCAGGGAGGGTCCAGTGAGATTAGAACTATGAGTGGACTTGGCCGATATGTCAGGAAGGCTGGCCTGTGCAATCCACCATGAGGCCATGGAGAATTCCAGGCCCTCTGCTGAAAACTGGCCAGTTACTGGTTTTTTTTTAAAATTAAAAATATTTATTTATTTATTTATTTATTTATTTATTTATTTATTTATTTAGAGCAGGGTCTCTCTGTGTTGTCCAGGCTGGAGTGCAGTGGCACAATCTCAGCTCACTACAACCTCCGCCTCCCGGGTTCCAGCAACCCTCCTGCCTCAGCCTTTCAAGAAGCTGGGATTACGAGCTGGGATTATGTGTGCCACCACGCCCAGCTAATTTTTCATTTTTAGTAGAGATGGAGGTTCACTGTGTTGGCTAGGCTGCTCTCGAACTCCTGACCTCAAGGGATCCGCCCACCTTGGCCTTCCTGAGTGCTGGGATTACAGGAATGAGCCACCTTGCCTGGCCCAGTTACTGATTTTGTTTATAGCTTGTTTATTGCAGGTGAGGATGTAAGGTGTTTGCCAGAAAAGCTGAGGAACTACAATATCAAAACCAATTAACTCATTTGTTTACTCAACAAATGTATATTAGAATGGCAACTAGCTGGCAGGTACTGAGGATATAGGAAACAGGTCTGGTAAGTATAGGATCTGCCGCAAGGTCAAACATGAAAAGCAAGAACCAAGCTGGGTGCAGTGGCTCATGCCTGTAATTCCAGCACTCTGGGAGGATCGACTTAACCCTAGGAGGTCGAGGCTGCAGTGAGGTATGACTGCACCACTGCACTTCAGCCTGGGTGATATAGGCAGACTCTGTCTCAAAAAAAAAAAATCCTGTCAAGAATCTGATGAACAGTTATTTTATTTTTATTTATTTATTTTTGAGAGTAAGTCTCGCTCTTCTCCCTGAGGCTGGAGTGCAGTGGCGCAATCTCGGCTCACTGCAACCGCCGCCTCCTGGGTTCAAGTGATTCTCCTGCCTCAGCCTCCTGAGTAGCTGGGATTACAGGCGCTTGCCACCACACCCGGCTAATTTTTGTATTTTTAGTAGAGACGGGGTTTCACCATGTCAGCCAGGCTAGTCTCGAACTCCTTACCTCAGGTGATCCGCCTGTCTCGGCCTCCTAAAGTGCTGGGATTACAGGCGTGAGCCACCGTGCCCAGCCAATGAACAGTTATTTTAAAATATTTGAGCAAAGAATAAAAAAGGGCTGGGCGCAGTGGCTCACACCTGTAATCCCAACACTTTGGCAGGCCAAGGCGGGTGGATCACTCTGAGTTCCAGCGAGCTCCTCGGGTAAACATAGCGAAACGCTGTCTTTACTAAAAATATAAAAATCAGCTGCCGTGGTGGTGCACACCTGTAGTCCCAGCTACTCAGGAGGCTGAGGTGAGGATCACTTGAGCCTGGTAGTTTGAGGCTGCAGCGAGGTATGGTTGTGCCACTGCACTCCAACCTGGGCAACTGGAGTGAGACCCTGTCTCAAAAAAAAAAAAAAAAAAAAAGGCCGGGCGCGGTGGCTCAAGCCTGTAATCGCAGCACTTTGGGAGGCCCTGAGCGGGCGGATCACGAGGTCAGGAGATCGAATGATTTTATTTTATTATTTTAATTTTAATATTTATTTTGAGACAAGTCTCGCTCAGTCGCCCAGGCTGGAGTGCAATGGCGGGATCTCAGCTCACTGCAACCTCTGCCTGTCGAGTTCAAGAGATTCTCATGCCTCAGCCTACCCAGTAGCTGGTATTGCAGGCGCCAGCCATCATGCCCAGCTAATTTTTGTATTTTTAGTAGAGACCGGGTTTCACCATCTTGGCTAGGCTGGTCTCGAACTCCTGACCTCGTGATCCGCCCACCTGGGCCTCCCAAAGTGCTGGGATTACAGGCGTGAGCCACCATGCTCGGCCATGTTATTATTATTTTAAACAGTAAGTTTCTCCTAGGGCTGTTTTATGGATGGCTCTTCCTGAGGATATCAAAGCCGCATTTTCCCCAGGACAGAATGGGATGAGGGCATGGCAGGGAAGAGAAGAGCTTAGCCTGGGAATCTGACTGGGTAGGGGATGGGCGAACGAAAAGGGGAAAAGCAAAAACAAAACTCTTGAGAAACAGGTCCTGGGGACTCCTTGGCGCTTGCTCTCACTGTGTGGTCCCAGCCAGTTCACTGGAGAACCGGAGTCTCGTGGCTGCTTTGGCTGAAGGTCAGGGGATCATCTTTCTCCGGCTCCCTTTTGCAAAGGGTAGGGAAAGGAAGCGATGGCGGCCTTGGCGCCCGCCCCGCGCCCAGGGACACAGACGGGAATCCCTCGAGACCCTCGGCGGGGACTGCCGGGGGGGTCCTGCGTTCTGCAGCTTGGCAACCGCCTCCTCCGTGTTCTACAGCTCGGGGCAGCGGCGGGGGGTGCGTCCTGCGGCAGCTGCAGGGCTCCGTCCCGCCCGCTGTCCCCGCGACTCCGTACTGCTGTCCCGGGCGGAGTGGTCTCGGGGAGGGCCCAGCCTCCGTGCTCCGCCCCTGGCCCGGCAGGACCCGGCTCGGCGCGCCCTCGGCAGAAAGCCCTCCTCCCCGGCCAAGGTAGAGGAAGTTGGGCTCCCGCCTGGCTGGGAGGCGGGAGGGAGCCAGCTCCTGTTGTTTTCCGCCGGCGGGAGTGGGCAGGCAGGCGCAGGGGGCGGGGTGCGCCCTCCCTCCGCGGCCAGGGCGCTCGGGAGCCGGGACCCGAGCCTGCAGCCGAGCGCCGCTCCCAGCCCCGGACACCCGGCTCAGCCAAGCATCCTTCCTGGGGGCCGAGAAAGTGGGGCCACTCTGCCGTTCCGAGGACCTGAGAGGAGCCCTTGGTCCCCCGGGCCCCGGTGCCCTGGGGCGCACACGTCCAGCCCAGCCTGAGCCTGCATTTCCTGAGCCGGGATCTGGGGCGAGATGGCCGCAGGCGGCGGTGCGCCCGAGCCCCGCGTCCTCGTCTGCCTCGGGGCGCTCCTGGCCGGCTGGGTCGCCTTAGGTAAGGGGCCGCGATCTGGAGGGAAAAGTTGAGTTTTCCCAGTCAGCGGTGGGGAGGGGACAGCAAGGGACCAAATTCCCTCCGACTCCGCTTGGATCCGTGGTGGCCGCAGCCTAGAAGCCGCCCCAGGAGGGTCTTGGTTTCCTGCTTGCAGCTCGGCGGTCTTTGCAGGAAGGAATTTTCCCGGGCGCCCGGTGCGGGGCAAGATACCCCTAGCCTCCTGGGGTGGGCAGCCGGTGAGGCTGCAGAGGACCCGAGCCGAGGTGCAGGGGAAAATAAAGAGGCACGTGTGCCGGGAAAGTGATTTTTTTTTTTTAAGCGTCGGACGTAAATTCGCTTTCTGGTTTTATTAATACCTGATACGCTGGTGCTCAAACTCGAGACTCCCACTTTATTTTTCTCCTCCCTCTGCCCAAGGTTGAACTGCCTTACACCTGTAACCAGTGGCCTTCCCTACACACCTTTGCAAATCTTCCTGTGCTGACCAGCGCCTTCAAAGCGGGGTCTTCCGCCTTTACTTTTGGAAAAGCTTTTTATTTTGAAATACTTGGCAGACTTACAAAAGACTTCCCCTCACACTTGACATGATTGACAAAAGGTCTGAAATGCTTCATCTGTGGTCTGCTTTGCTACGAAAAAAGAATTGGGGGGTGCTTACAAAAATATGTAGAATGTAAAAAGATTGAAATATATATATATGAATTTAATTCACCAGCATGCCTACTGTGCGTGCCTACTGTGCGCTGGGAGTGTGACAAGCTGGGAGGTAGCTGGGGTGCAGGGAGAGGAGGTGGAGCCAGGAGGTAGTGAAGTTTGCCAGGATGCAGGCAGAGCCCTACTTTTTGTGTTCCCGGGTATGCTCTACCCAGCTGGTCTCCTCTTGCACGTTTCTGGAGATGGGTTGTAAATTATGCTGGAGCTTCCTAGCAGCAAGTACCAAAAGTTCCTAATTGTTAGGCTCCTACAATTTTATTTTGCTTTTTTTTTTTTAAACCAATCGTTTAAAAAAAATAACATCTCTAGGTTTCCAGTTTATCTGGAAAAATCTGAAGGTCTGGCAACACGGGGCCTGCTTTCCCAGTTGGAACTGGGCAGTGGTCATCCTTTTATCTAGGGCACGTGAGCCCAAATTTGTTCCACCTCTCCCTGTTGTAATATTTGCCCCCCTACCTTCAGTCATGGGTGTTACCTGCTGGCCCTCCAGGCATTTGGCTGAGTAATCACTGTGCTGGGGTGTGTGTGGCAGGGGAGAAGGACAGTTTCTGGACGTGAAAGGTGGTCGTCAAGTATTCCCATCTCCCCAGCTGTTGGCACTGTTTCCTGCAAGATGAACACCAGGAACCTGGGAAGACAGAAGAACCCTGGGATGAAGTCATCCTGCTGGAATGACCCGGCATTCAGGCTGACTGCCGCCCGCCCCATGGGGAACCTATCTCCGCTGCTATGGCCAGCTATTTTTTTCGAGCCAGGCTCTCGCTCTGTTGCCCAGGCTGGAGTGCAGTGGCGCAATCACTGCACTGATCCTCCCACCTCAGCCTAGAAGTAGCTGGGACTACAGGCATGTGCCACCACGCCTAGCTAATTTCTAAATTTTTTTTGTAGAGATAGGGTCTCTACAATTGCTTGAGCCCAGGCTGGTCTTAAGCTCCTGGACTCAGGCGATCCTCCTGTCTCAGCCTCCCAAAGTGTTAGGATTACGGATGTGAGCCACTGTGTTGGGCCTTTGCCCAGCTATTTTGATGCCCAGACCTGCTTCACCTTTGTGTATGGTGCCAGGGGGCTTCCTGAGCTTGGTGTATTTTTGTTGTGTGTTTGTTTTTTAAGTTGGGAGTTGTTTGCCGGGGGGAAATTGTCTTTCTCCTGACATTCAACGCCAGACAACTTACATGCATCCACTAGCTACCTTGGATTGTAAATCCTAGGTTATTCTTGGGAAAAGTTGCTTAAAAAAAATAAATGGGTATAACTATTACTCTGTAATAATACATGGGCAGCATCAGGGAGTTTATATTACTCCCTCTTCTGTTCCCTATTATGCATTTAAGGTTGGGGGCAAGAAGGACCCTCTGGACACCATATAAATGATCTCTAAAATTGTTACTATATTTTATCATTGCATCCTGTCTGGAGACCAGAGTAAAGTGACCTGAGTGACAATCCCACATCTCCCAGTGATTTGCTTGGGACTTTAAGTGAATAATTTAATCTTCCTAAATCTCAATTTTCTCAATAGTAAAGTGAGGAGGTATAGGATTGCCAGGCAAGAACTACCCCTTCCATGTCTATGTCAGACATCACTAATCGATGACTGTGTTCTTTTCCACTGAGCCAGGACTCGAACTCATCGTCAACCCAGCCCATAGGGCAGTCACAGATCTGGACTAGATGATCTCCAAAGGCACCTTCAGATACGGTGGTTTAAAAAAGAATGGAGTAAGCCAAGCCAGGAGAAGCCTTCAAATGGTTTCTTTTGTGATCATGTCATTCTATGCGTTGGAGGAGAAGACAATGTTAGCTGAAGTTCCAATACTAAAGTTTCACCAGGGCTTTTTTCCAAGCCACTGTTCCTGTATTTCCTTGCCAAGGAGTTAGGCAAGGGGCAGGTCTGCAGGTCGCATGTTGCATCTGTAACTCTAAAGTTCATCTTCCTTTCTATCGTGGGGGTTGCCACTGGAGAATTTGGGTTCTCAGTCCTAATAATTTAAAAAGAATTCTTGGCCGGGCGCGGTGGCTCCCGCCTGTAATCCCAGCACTTCGGGAGGCCGAGGCGGGCGGATTACCTGAGGTCAGGAGTTCAAGACCGGCCTGGCCAACATGGTGAAACCCATCTCTACAAAAATTCAAAAAATTAGCGGGACATGATGGCGGGTGCCTGTAATCCCAGCTACTCAGGAGACTGAGGCGGGAGAATTGCTTGAACCCGGAAGGCAGAGGTTGTAGTAAGCTGAGATTGAGCCATTGCACTCCAGCCTGAGCAACAGAGTGAGACTTCATCTCAAAAAATAAATGAAGACATAAAAAGAATTCTTACCTGCTCTTTTTTTTTTTTTTCCGAGACAGAGTCTTTTTTCTGTTACCCAGGCTGGAATGCAGTGGGGTGATCTTGGCTCACTGCAACCTCCACCTCCCCAGTACAAGTGATTCTCCTGCCTCAGCCTCCTGAGTAGGTGGGATTACAGGCATGTGCCACCACGCCTGGCTAATTTTTTGTATTTTTAGTAGAAACTGGGTTTCACCATGTTAGCCAGGCTGGTCTCAAGCTCCTGACCTCAGGTGATCTGCCGCCTCGGCCTCCCAAAGTGCTGGGATTATAGGCGGGAGCCACCGCACTCGGCCATTCCGCTAATATTTGTGTTTTTAAGTAGCGACGAGGTTTCACCATGTTGGTCAGGCCGGTCTCGAACTCTTGACCTCAAATGATCCACCTGCCTCGGCCTCCCAAAGTGCTGGGATTACAGGTGTGAGCCATCGCCTCCGGCCCTCACCTGCTTTTTAAAGTGATTGTTCAGAAGGATTTCTTGCTGTTTTGGAATCTCTATCATTAGATGACATTCTCCACCTTTCAGCAAGTGGCTTAGTTTTTAAAATTTGGGTTTTTTTCTCCATCCTGAGTTGGCTCAAAAGTCTTTTGGGAATGGTGTGGCCAAAATGGTAAGAGAATCAGAACTTCTTGGGGTCCAGGCTGGCTTCAGATCTCTCAAAGGGAGCCCTTCTAACCAGACAAGAGGCCAAATACAGATAATGATTACTTTTTCACTTAAACGGGAAGGATTGCCAGGGGCAGGTGGCAGTTTGTTTTTTCTATAACAGCTGTATTCAGATACAATTTACATGCCACAAAATTCACCCTTTTAAAGTGTACGACTCAGGGCATTTTAGTGTATTCCAAGATTACATAGCCATCACCACTAATTCATCATTTTTATCACCCCAACAGGTTCTGCCCGTCTTCCTATTCCTGCAGCCTCTTTGTATTTGGGTCTTGATTGTGGAGGGGGCTGGACAATTGTGAAACTTCTCAGCAAAATGGGTTGCATTTGCTTCTTGTTACCTAGTGACAGTCTAATGCCCGTTAGCACCTGTCAGTCTTTTTTATGAGACAGGGTCGGCTGGATGCGGTGGCTCACGCCTGTAATCCCAGCACTTTGGGAGCCCGAAGTGGGTCTGAGTGGAATGCTTGAGTTCAGGAGTTCAAGACCAGCCTGGGCAACATAGTGAGACCTCCCCCCCGACCCCCCGCCCCATCTCTAAAAAAGAAAAAAAAATTATTTACATTAAACAAACAAAAAAAGAGACAGGGTATCTCTCTGTTGCCCAGGCTGGAGTGCAGTGTCACGATCGTGGCTCACTGCAGCTTCAGTCTCCTGGATTCAAGTGATCCTCCCACCTCAGCCTCCCAAAGCCCTGGGATTATAGACCTGAGCCACCACACCTGGACACCTGTCACTCTTGAGTGGTCATCAGAATCACCTGGAGGGCTTGTTAAACCACAGATGCTGGACCAGGTGTAGTGGATCACTCCTGTAATCCCAGCACTTTGGGAGGCTGAGGTGGGAGGATTGCTTGAAGTCAGGAGTTCAGGACTGTCCAGGACAACAGAGTGAGACCCACCCCACCCCCCATCTCTTTAAAAAAAAAAAAAAAAAAGTTAAATAATTGCTGATTTGTTCAAAATAAACAAATAAAACAAAAAGGGCTGCTGCTCTCCCACAGTTTCTGATTTGGGTGTTTTGGGGTGAGGTTTGATAATTTGTGTTTCTAACACTCTGCGGCCGCTGATCTGGGCTTTTGAACGTGTTCCGTTTGCCTGGGAACCCATCCTCACCTTTCCTTGGCTGATTCTACTTGTCCATCAGATCTCAGTTTGGCTTCCTGGGGGAAGTGTTTCCTGACATTTGCCCTAGTTGGACTTAGGAGCCCTTTCTCTGAGGCCTTATCTTGGTGTTTATCACACTGCACTGTAAGTGCCAGTTTATTGTCTCTTTTCTTCACTAGACTGTGAACTCTTGGAGGTTTCTGTGTGTTGTGTCCACCATGGGGTTCCCAGTGCCTTGCCCAATGTGGGCACACAGTCCCTACTGCCAGCCCATTCTTGCGTGGAGCTTCTGAGAGAACTTGAACTCTAGGGCCGTTTGAGATGGGGGGAGAGGGAGAGGCAGAGAGAGCAGCAGGACAGTGGAAGCAAAGCCAAAGCCCTCTTCTTTCTACCCCTTCTGGGTTTCTAGGCAAATAAAGCCACTTGGGTTCTCTATGAATTATTGATCGCCACAGTAATGCTGTGTAAGAAACAACCCCAAAATGACAGTAGTGCTTATTACCCACAGGCCTGGGTGGTTGGTTAGGTGGCTCTGCTGACCCGCCTGGGGATCGATGACTAGCTGAAGGCTGATCTAGAATGGGCCAAGCTGGAGCCATTGAGACAACTTGGGTCTGTACCATGTAGTTTGTTTATTTATTTATTTATTTGAGACAGAGTTTCGCTCTTGTCGCCCAGGCTGGAGTGCAGTGGCACAATACCAGCTCACTGCAACCTCTGCCTCCTGAGTTCAAGTGATTCCCCTGCCTCAGCCTTCCGAGTAGCTGGATTACAGGTACCTGCCACCACACCCAGCTAAGTTTTTGTATTTTTAATAGAGACGAGGTTTCACCATGTTGGCCAGGCTGGTCTCAAACTCCTGAGCTCAGGTGATCTGCCTGCCTCGGCCTCCCATAGTGCTGGGATTACAGGCATGGAGCCTGGCTTTTTGTTGTTGTTTTTTTCTTGTTTTTGAGACAGTCTTGCCCTGTCAACCAGGCTGCAGTGCAGTGGACAATCTTGGCTCACCGTAATCTCTGCCTCCTGGGTTCAAGTGATTCTCGTGCCTCAGCCTCCTGAGTAGCTGGGACTACAAGTGTGCACCACCATGCCTGGCTAATTTTTGCATTTTTAGCAGAGACGAGGTTTCACCATGTTGACCAGGCTAGTCTCAAATTTCTAGCCTCAAGTGAAACCGTCTCCCTCGGCTTCCCAGAGTGCTGGAATTACAGGCGTGAGCCACTGCTCCCGGCCTCATTGTAGTTTTGATTTGCATTTCTCTAGTGATTATAGACAAGCGCTTTAAAGCCTCTGCTTGTGTCACATTCCCCAACATCCCATTGGCCAAAACAGGTCTCATGGCTGAGTCCTCACTAAGAATGGGATGGCCCCCCGGTGATGTGGGGCATGGATAGTGAGGGGCATGGATGATGGGCAGGCTGGCTGGGCAACTGGGGCTATGTTTGTTACCTACTACAAGTTCATTATTGTCAGTGACTGGCCAAGAGTCTCAACATACCAGAGGTTCTGTATGTGTTTTTTGTTTGTTTGTTTTTGTTTTGAGACAGAGTCTCGCTCTGTCACCCAGCCTGGAGTGCAGTGGCACAATCTCGGCTCACTGCAACCTCCGCCTCCCAGGTTGAAACAATTCTCCCACCGTAGCTTCCCGAGTAGCTGGGATTACAAGCATGCACCACCACGCCCGGCTGATTTTTGTATTTTTAGTAGAAACGGGGTTTTGCCATGTTGGCCAGGCTGGTCTGGAACTCCTCACCTCAGGAGATCTGCCTGTCTTGTACTCCCAAAGTACTGGGATTACAGGTGTGAGCCGCTATGCCCAGCTGCTCTGTATGTGTTACTGCATCTTAAGAACACATACAGTCAGGTGTGGTGGCTCATGCCTGTAATCCCAGCACTTTGGGAGGCCGAGGCGGGCGGATCAAGCAATTCTCCTGCCTCAGACTCCCAAATAGCTGGGACTACAGGGGCACGCCACCATGCCCAGCTAATTTTTTGTTTTCGTTTTTGTTTTTGAGACAGAGTTTCCCTCTTGTTGCCCAGGCTGGAGTGCAATGGCGCAATCTCAGCTCACCACAACCTCCGCCTCATAGTTTCAAGTGATTTTCCTGCCTCAGCCTCCCTAGTAGCTGGGATTACAGGCATGTGCCACCATGCCCAGCTAATTTTGTATTTTGACTAGAGGCAGGGTTTCTCCATGTTGGTCAGGCTGGTCTCGAACTCCTGACCTCAGGTGAAACACCCGCCTCGGCCTCCCAACGTGCTGGGATTACAGGCGTGAGGCACCGCGCCCAGCCACAATTTTTTGTATTTTTAATAGAGATGGGGTTTCACCATGTTGGCCAGGATGGTCTCAATGTTTTGACCTTGTGATCTGCCCGCCTCGGTCTCCCAAAGTGCTGGGGGCATGAGCCTGACCTTTCCTGAGGTCAAGAGTTCCAGACCAGCCTGACCAATGTGGTGGTGAAACCCTGTCTCTACTAAAAATACAAAAATTAGCCGGGCGTGGTGGCGCGTGCCTATAATCCTAGCTACTTGGGAGGCTGCCCGAGAGGCGGAGGTTTCAGTCAGCCGAGATCGTGCTATTGCACTCCAGCCTGGGCGACAGAGTGGGATTCTGTCTTAAAAAAAAAAAAAAAAGAACATATACCTGATGAAAAAAAAAAAAATCCTAATACAAGAGGACTGTCCAAAAAGGGACATTGTTTAGAAATTAAGAAGGGTAGTAACAGCTTGATCTTGCCTTGTACAGGATTGGAGGCTGTTGTCATTGGAGAAGTTCATGAGAATGTTACTCTGCACTGTGGCAACATCTCGGGACCGAGGGGCCTGGTGACCTGGTACCGGAACGACTCGGAGCCTGTCTTCCTTCTCTCATCCAACTCTAGCCTCCCGCCAGCTGAGCCTCGCTTCTCTCTAGTGGATGCCAGCTCCCTGCACATCAAATCGCTGGGCCTGGGAGATGAGGGGAATTACACCTGCCAGGAGATCCTGAATGTGACTCAGTGGTTCCAAGTGTGGCTGCAGGTGGCCAGTAAGTGGGGCTGGCAGGGACTGGGGCTGGAGAGGTGCTCAGAGCCTTGGAAAGGAGGAGACCATGGTCAGGAATGTGGGTTTTGGGTTCCGATGGCCTGGAATTCTTTTTGGGCCCTGCCACTTGCAAGCTGAGGGACCTCTCACACCTCTATTTCCTCGCCTGTAAAATGGGGATAAAAATAATTCCTGTGGCTGGGCACAGTGGCTCATGCCTATAATCCCAGCACTTTGGGAGGCCAAGGCGGGCGGTCATCACTTGAGGTCAGGAGTTCGAGACCAGCCTGGCCAACATGGTGAAACCCCATCTCTGTTAAAAATACAAAAAATGCCTGCCGGGTGCAGTGGCTCACACCTGTAATCCCAGCACTTTGGGAGGCCGAGGCAGGTGGATCACAAGGTCAAGACATGGAAACCATCCTGACCAAGATGGTGAAACCCCGTCTCTATTAAAAATACGAAAAATTAGCTGGGCGTGATGGCATGCACCTGTAGTCCCAGCTACTTGGGAGTCTGAGGCAGGAGAATCACTAGAACCCGGGAGGCCTGGAGGTTGCAGTGAGCCGAGGTTACAGTGAGCTGAGATTGCACCACTGTACTCCAGCCTGGCAACAAAACGAGACTCGTCTCAAAACAAAAGAAAACCGCGGGCACAGTGGCTCACGCCTGTAATCCCAGCACTTTGGGAGGCCGAGACGGGCGGATCACAAGGTCAGGAGATCGAGACCATCCTGGCTAACACAG